AACAAGGTGAATCAGAAACCACGTCAATATTGTTTAGTTCCCTTCAATTTTTGCACGTCTCTTACTTTAGAGAATACTAAAGGAATTCGTTTTATAAACTTAATTTTTGAAATATTAGAGCAAACAAATAGTTTCTTAACATTAATGGAAAATTTTAAAAACTTGATACTTTAAGAGAAAGTTATATAATAACAAATACTACTTTGGAATTATAGATACATTAGTCGTTTTGCTACAATCATAGTGTTTTAAAAATAACATTTATTTATACCTCAATAAAGTTATTGTGGGTTGATTTTATATTTATATTTTGATTAACAATAATTGTTAACAATTCAGATTTGTATAGCAAATGGTTAAGTAATATGTAATGTTTATAAGTTATACATTATAACTTACATAGTAGAATAGTACATTAAATAAATTCAATCTTAACTTTAACTTTATTTGATTTTATCTAGTTTTGTATAAATAATATTTATTTAAATATTTCTAATATAGAATTTTTACAATGTTATCAATACTGGTATACTGTATAAGAATAATATGATTGTTATTTAGTTAATTTTTCAAAATTAAAACGCTAGAAAATATATACAATTAAATGTGTTTTAAATTAATTTAAACATATCTCATATATGTTTTATTAAATTAATTGCTATTTAAAATATTTTTGCACCCCTTTCAGGTGCTATACAACATGGTAACATTTATTTTTACGTTAGTCTAAACTGATTCTAACATAAATATTATAAAATCCAACATTAATTATAAGTATATTTGTTGCCGAAACAAGTTTTAAATTATAATATACAATGAGATTAATATATTTATTATTAATACTAAACATTTGCGTAAATGATCATGTGCATGCTGAATTTTACAGTACTGATCCGGATATATTTTATAATGTGGTATATTTTGTGATTTGTAATAAATATTGCCAAATATTTTAAAAAAATTTGTTTATAACTAATAAAAGACACAATACTTGCACTCAAGAGGTTTTGGATCCGAAGAGTACGAAGTGGTCACTGAAGACGGATATATATTGAACTTTTTTCGTATCGTTAACCCATACGTGAGTGCGGATCAGTTGGTGGACACACCGGTGCTCTTATGGCACGGCATCGCCGAAAGCGCCGAGTGTTGGCTTAAGAGTACAAAAGGGTATTTAAATGTGAACGGAGTTTATAGTGAGGACAACAATACTGTTGTCAACAATTGTCACAAAAAACTCACATCAAACCTGGCCTACACTCTGGCCGCCTGTGGTTGGGACGTATGGCTGGCCAACAGTCGCGGCAATCAATACTCTAATCAACACACGGGCCACTTAACCACGCTTGGTAAATTAGTTATTACAAGCGATTGGCTAACAATAGTAATCCAATCTATGCCCTAGATCCAAAGTATTGGGACTTCACGCTCACCGAACTGGCCATTTATGATGTGCCGGCAACTGTCGCCCGGATCCTTGCCATCACCCAAAAGCGTATAAATTGTTTTTGATTATGTGATACCATTATAAGTGGTTGCTATTGCTTAACCATATAATCTCCGCCATAAGCCTACCTGTCCTACATCGGCCATTCACTGGGAACGACACAACTGTTTATACTGCTTTCATTGCAACCAGAGTTTGAGCAATTTTTCCGCCCATTCATAGCGCTGGCGCCGATCGCATATCTGGGCAACACATTAAGCCTATTCAAAGCCCTGGCGCCCATTGAGCCACTCGTCAGGTAATATCCATCGATGAATGGCTATATTTATCACTGTTTTATACACCGTTATAGGCCGGTGACCGTAGGGCTGGGTCTGCCCCGACCGGTGGCCCAGTTTATCGGGCAATTTATTTGCGGTAATATTATATTAAGGTATCTGTGCGTCGAGTATAACGCCCTCCTTTATGGCCAAGACCCGTTTAACACTGATTACGTAAATGATCTAGTTAGAAATTGAAGTATACTGTAGATAGTTTTTGTAAATTACCATGATTGTTTTTAGAGCAGATTACCAGCTATTTTTGGCAATGCTTTTGACGACACCTCGTCTCGGATTTACTTGCATTTCGCACAACTCATACTCAATGATAAATTTTCGCAATTTAATTACGGCACCGACGGAAATGTGGCCAAATATGGCCAGTTGTCGGCACCCGAGTACCCGCTCCGCAACATCACATCTCAAGACATTGTTTTAGTTAACGGTTTGAACGATTTGTTGGCTGATGTGTTGGATGTCCAGCGTTTGGCCCACAAAATCCGCAGTTAAGATTGTTTTTATAATTATTATAATGTTTTGTTTGTTACTATAATTGTTTTTTATAAATGTAATATTGTTTTGTCAATATATGGCTAGAATTGCGTGCCTTTAAGACCATACGATGGCCACAATGGGATCACTTGGACTTTATTTTCGCCAAATATCAAAACATATTTGAAAACCATTTTATTTTACAAATGTTAAGATCTTATCAATAGTTACGAAATGTGTTGTCATTAAATAAATGTACAATTAATTTATTTGTAAAGCTTTACATTAAATAGCAATGATTTATACTAAATAATAAATATCTTGTATATAATTTTCCGTGTTTGTTTAGTTTTAGATCTTATTTGATTTTAGACATAATTACTGTCACAATAATAACATGACAAGAGTAGTGATAAAATAATTGACATTTAACTAACCATGGTTGTTTCCGATCAACTTTCCTGTGTAGCTGTTATTATGGTCTATGATATTTAACATGTTTTTATAAATAGTTAAAAAACAAAATGTTATCAAAATAGTGATTATTTTGCTTAAACATGTGCTGACTGTCAACGAAGGCATTGATAACATACTGCACAGTATTTAATGATTACTTAAATTAAAGTAATTATTAAGTAATTATTTTAGGGCTGCGCTGTTGAACAGTGTATGTGGGCGTAAATGATCACGTGTATTTGTTGTAACGCAGTAATTTTAATAATATGGCAAACTAATAATTTAGTAAAAGTATCTAATAATCATCAAAACAATAGACCTATAGTTAAATAAAAATATTCTTAATTTGTTATAAAAGTGTAATTCTTATAACTTGTTATATTTTTATTTATATTCAATTTTAGAAAATATAAATGTCGTCAAAAAAGTTGGTAATAATAGACACCGATTGCGGTGTCGACGACGCGATGGCCATAATGTTGGCCACGTATTGTCACAAACACAATATGATTGACATAATGGCCATCACTTGTCAATTCGGTAACACATATGTTGATAATGTGGTCAAAAATGTTGGCTATACTCTCAATGCCTCTGATATAAAAGTAAGTGTTAATTAAATAAAAATAATATTTTAGTTAAACTTATTTATAAATAAATAGGGAATTAAGATATACAGAGGTTGTGAGGGACCACTCGATGGGAAATATGTTTTAGAGGAATACTACGGAACCGACGGTTTAGGCGACTCTACTAAAGACATGCCTCCCATTGATGTTGCCATAGAGGGGGAGCCGGCGGCCAATACATTGGTACGGCTGGCCAGAGAGCACCCGAAGCAAATCACCTTGATCGCTTTGGGACCACTCACTAATATAGCCTCAGCTTATATTTTGGACAACAAATTCTTTGACAATTTAAAGCAAATTGTTTTAATGAGTGGTAGTCTTGACTTTAATGGCAATACATATCCGGTGACCAGTTTTAATATAATTTCCGACGTCGAGGCATGTAGTATAGTGCTGTCCAACGCTAACTGTGCCGTTACAGTTGTGCCCAATGAATGTTGTAAAAGTAACATTCTTACCTGGGTAACTTAACATACATGAAATATTATTTTGTAAAATACATATTATGTAAAAAAAACACTTATTATAAATGTTGCAATTTTAGGATATTTACGACCAAATAGTAAAATTGGGTTCAAAGAGATCAATGTTTATGAAACAGATAACAGATATGGAGGTTAAAGATATTAAAGAAAGTGTGTATTAAATGTTAATTTATTGTTTTATAAATTCATATTTTCATATTAATTTAAAATTATAAAGTAATATAAATAATGTTATTATCGTTATGTTTAGAGCCGGGATCTAAGGGTATAGTAATGTATGACATTTTGGCAATAATTGCTGCGATATTTGAAGACTATATTGAATCCAAAGTTGAATACAAGACAAGCATTGAATTGAATGGAGGGCTAACTCGAGGAGAACTCGTGTTCGACAAGAGGTCGACACCCGATGTCCTAAAGAATGACTGGAAATCAGTTCAATATATCAAACACTTTAACGACACAAAGTTGTCACAACTTTTCATTAATTTTATGAAATAACTCAATATTAAATAAAATAAATATTTGATACGTAAATGTCATATTTTAATTTATTACAAATTATGGTATTAATTATTACAACTTAAGTGAGTGTTAGGAAAGTCATTAAAATATAACGAAATTTAAACGTTATGTAAAAATTAAGATAATAGTCTACTGGGAAACAATGCTTAAATGTTTATGGTGATAAAGTAATGCACCATTCAGCGACCAAGGGCAATTACAACATTATTCGGCTCAATAATCATATTGACAGGTGTGTAAAGGAAAAATGATCAATATCAGTTTGTAGAAATTAATGCAAAATTACTATTAATTCATTGTTAGTAATATTTTTACAGTTACATAAACTGAGAAGTGGATACTTGCTCAAAAGTCACTTGTTCAATTTATTTTTTGAAACATCAATAAATATTTAACAAAACATGAAAGTTGTACTATATACAGTGCTTGTATTTGCACTTTTACCACTGACACAATCCAATGCATTAAAACCGTTGGTAATAATAGACACGGATAGCGGTGTCGACGACGCGTTGGCCATAATGTTGGCCACGTTTTGCCACAAACACAATATGATTGACATAATAGCCATCACCTGTCAATTCGGTAATACATATGTCGAGAATGTGGTCAAAAATGTCGGCTATACTCTCAATGCCAGTAAATTAGAAGTAAGTGTTATTTAAATAAAAATAATATCATTTATAAATTGAATTATTAAAAAATTATTAATAATTACAAATAAATAGGAAATAAAGATATACAGGGGTTCTGACGGACCAATTGTCGGCAAATTTGTTTCCGACAATTACTACGGAATCGATGGTTTGGGAAACTCTACACTAGATATGCCTCCCATTGATGTGCACATAGAGAGTGAACACGCGGTCAATGCATTGGTACGACTGGTCAGAGAGCACCCGAAGCAAATCACCTTGATTGCTTTGGGACCGCTCACTAATATAGCGCTCGCATATATGTTGGACAACAAATTCTTTGATAATTTAAATCAAATTGTTTTTATGGGCGGAACTCTTGACTTCGACGGCAATTCAGATCCCGTGAAAAGTTTTAACATAGATTCAGACGTCGAGGCCATAAGTAGAGTGTTATTGAGTGCCAACTGTGCCATCACTGTTGTTCCTAATGAATGTTGCAAGAAACATGTTCTTACCTGGGTAACTATAAAATATTTTGAATTTCTTAAATAAGATTATTTACAAACAATTATAATTTCAGTCCATTTACGACCAAATAATAAAATTGGATTCAAAAAAATCAAAATTTATGAAACAGATAACAGATATGGAGGTTAAGCGCATGAAAGAGCGTATGCATTGATTAATGGCATTGTATTTAATTTATAATTATTAATGAATAGTTTAATTATGATGTCTAGAGCCCGGATCTAAGGGTATAGTAATGTTTGACATTCTGGCAGTAATGGCGCCCATATATGAAGACTATATTGAATTGAAAGCTCAATACAAGACAAGCGTTGAATTAAATGGAGGGCTAACTCGAGGAGAACTCGTGTTCGACAAGAGGTCGACACCCGATGTCCTGAAGAATGACTGGAAATCAGTTCAATATATCAAACACTTTAACGACACAAAGTTATCGCAATTAATGATTGATTTTATGAAATAAATTAAATTAAAAAATAGTTTAATTAAAAATAATTTAATTTAATATAAAATAAAATTAGTTATAATAAAAGTTTATAAAAGTGTGACAAAATGACAATATACAATTAAAAATATTTGTATATCTAGCGACCAAGAGTCCGATAAAGTACAAGTTACGATAAAAAATTATCATAATAAAGTACAAATTATCACTTACCAGGAATAATTATATAATCAAACAACTTTACAAATAATGCTCCTAATTATTGCTAATTTACCCAGTTTACACTCACGAGTCGGAACATAATTAATTGTCTCAAATAACTGCATACTAAATAACTATAACTGTATATATTCTGGGATAGTAACAGGTGTGCAGAGATATAGTTAACATCACAGAAAGTATTATAAAATCATGAGAATAAAATTTGCATTGTTTGATAAGCTGATAAAATAATACTTTTCACCACTATATATAAAGGTTTTAAATTTGTGAAGCTCGCATTTATTAAATTGAGTATTATAATTGTTGCTTAATATTAAATAATAAGAATTATGCAAGTTCTGTTATATACAGTGCTTGTGTGGGCACAGATAGCACTGACCATATGTAAGGCATCAAAACCAATGGTAATAATAGACACGGATAGCGGCGTTGACGACGCTTTGGCCATAATGTTGGCCACGTATTGCCACAAACACAATATGATTGACATAATGGCCATCACATGTCAATTCGGTAATACATATGTCGATAATGTGGTCAAAAATGTCGGCTATACTCTCAATGCCAGTGAATTAGAAGTAAGTGTAAATTAAAATAAAATAATATCATTTATAAATTGAATTATTTAAAAATTATTATTAATTACTAATAAATAGGGAATAAAAATATACAGGGGTTCTGATGGACCTATTGTTGGCAAATTTGTTTCCGACGATTACTACGGAATCGATGGTTTGGGAAACTCTACACTAGATATGCCCCCAATTGATGTGCACATAGAGAGTGAACACGCGGTCAATGCATTGGTACGACTGGCCAGAGAGCACCCGAAGCAAATTACCTTGATCGCTTTGGGACCCTTAACTAATATAGCGCTCGCATATATGTTGGACAACAAATTCTTTGACAATTTAAAAGAAATTGTTTATATGGGCGGTAGTATTGACTTTGGGGGTAATATGGGTCCGGGAAAAGAGTTTAATGTTGTGTCTGATGTGGAGGCTGTGAGTAGAGTGCTGTCCAGTGCCAAGTGTCCCATCACTATAGTGCCCATTGAGTGTTGTGACAGGCATGTACTTACCTGGGTAATGTTTATTTTATATATACTTTACATTATATGATATGATAATAAAAGTATTTACACATTATTACAATTGCAGGACATTTACGACCAAATAATAAAATTGGATTCAAAGAAATCAAAGTTTATGAAACTGGTAACAGATATGGAGGTAAAGCGACTCAAAGAGCGTACGTATTGTCAATTTATACTAACATTATATTATAATGTGGTTCATTTGGTTTAAATCTATGTCATTATATTGTTTAGAGCCGGGATCTAAAGGCATAACAATGTATGACATTCTGGCAGTAATGGCGCCCATATATGAAGACTATATTGAATCCAAAGTTGAATACAAGACAAGCATTGAATTGAATGGAGGGCTAACTCGAGGAGAACTCGTGTTCGACAAGAGGTCGACACCCGATGTCCTGAATAATGACTGGAAATCAGTTCAATATATCAAACACTTTGACGACAAGAAATTATCACAACTTTTTATTGATTTTATGAAATAATAACTTTGTCAATAGAGTATAAAAATAAAGTTATGTATTATTATAATTATTTAACTGTTTAGTGCGTTATTTTATATAGTAATTATTTTGTGTAAAAATAATTTGTTGGTATAATAATATTGTATGTACTACTAAATCTTAGTTCTACATTGTTAATTAGGCAATATTTTGTAATAATTGAATAGAGTAGTTAATATTAACAGTTAAGATAATACCACTAGTTAACATTCTTGGTCAATTAACTAATGCTTGTAAAATATTTGCAAAATATGACATCAGATTTAATGACAAGAATTCGCTGCCTTAGTATCATGTCATGCATGTTGTTAACGTGATTAAGAAATAGTTAAATCATCATAATGGTCTATGAACATTCTAAAATATTAATTGTCATTTATTATCAATATACTTTAATATTCATTCAGTGTATTATAACTATTAACCTGTTACCCTAATTATCATACTTTGAGCTTTTTATCATTTTGTAAATAAAATTAATATTTTTACCAATTTATTTTGTCAAGCAGTTTTATACACATTTGTATATCAATAGCAAAATAAATAACATAGATAATTAAAAATCACAGATAAATGGCCTATTGACTTAAATACTGTGTTCTGACAATAATAACTAGATTGTCAATCAATAATTAGATCATAATTAATAAATATAAAATAATATTTATTTACGAGTCAGTATTTTGATAATAACTATCACCTCGTTATAAACTATAAAAAGAAACTGTTTTCAATTATACAGTCATTCAATTATTTTGAACAACAAAAGCAATGTCTAAAAAGTTGATAACAATAGACACGGATAGCGGTGTCGACGACGCGTTGGCCATAATGTTGGCCACGTATTGCCACAAACACAATATGATTGACATAATGGCCATCACTTGCACTCACGGCATGACAAACGTGGATAATGTGTGCAAAAATGTTTGCCTCGCTTTAAGAGCCGGCGAGTTAGAGGTATGTAATATTAATTTCTATAAGGTAAATCATTAAATTGATGTCACTAACCATGTTAAAATAATTATAGCAAATAAAAGTCTACAGGGGCTGTGAGGGCCCAATACTGGGTCACTATATACCAAATGATTGGGACGGAGCGGACGGTTTGGGCGACTCTACCAAAGACATGCCACCCATTGATGTGCACGTAGAGAGTGAACACGCGGCCAACGCATTGGTACGACTGGCCAGAGAGCACCCAAAACAGATCACACTTATCACGTTAGGCCCGCTGTCCAACATTGGCACCGCTTATATACTGGACAATCATTTCTTTGACAATTTGCATGACATTGTGTTTATGGGCGGAACCATTGACTATACGGGAAATATAGGACCCGTACAGGAGTTTAATGTTCAGAGAGATCCCGAGGCCTGCGCTATAATGCTGTCCAATGCCAAGTGTGGGCTTATGTCTGTCGCCTGGGAGTGTGGCCTAAGCAATATAATGACTTGGGTCAGTATTTTTATCATGTAAATAAATAAGTATATTGTTGTTAATAATAAGTTTTGTTAAAAATTAATTTACAGGATATTTACAATCAGATTATAAAAATTGATTCAAAGAAAGCAAAGTTTGCAAAACAGATATTGAAGAAAAATTACGATAGAACTCATCCGGGTTTGTAATTATAATGACCAAGCAATATTATTTAATAATTAATTTTAAAATAATGCTTTATAAATACTTAATTCACAGACCCGACTAAGAAAGGACTGGTATTAAGTGATATTTTGCCGGTTATTGCCGTATGTTTTGAGAGTTATATTGAATCAAAGTCTGAATACAAGACAACCGTTGAATTGAAAGGCGAGACCACGAGAGGAGAGCTGGTGTTGGATAAGCGGCCGACCGCTGGAACCGATTGGACACAAGTGTTATTCATCACACATTTTGATCAACAATTGTTTTCGCAACTTTTGGTTGAATATATGAAATAAATTAGTGGTTCGTGAATTAATTGATTGTTAATTATTATAAGTGAACACTTATAACGCAGTACATTTTTAATTATTTATAATGTATCATTAACACAGATTTATTTAATTTTTGTATTTTTAATGTTCAGTTAATTAGGCATGTTTAGATAGTGTTAATATTTTAATAAATTGGACAGATTTCCACATTTATATACTGTATGATGTCTATTAATACATATTGTACTGTATATTCGTGTTTTATATATTATATATTCGTGTCTAGACACTTGTGTTGTAAAATATATAAAACTACAGTAAATAAAATATTAAATGTTTAATTATATGCATGTTTAAATTTGATAAAAAATATAACTAAATGTTTACATGTGGTTAAATATTTTAAATATAATAATTTTTAATTATAATTGTTGATGATACTAATGATTTACAATTTGCATAAGTGTTTGATTCAAACAATTAGTTATAATGTTATGTTATAAATACTTTAAACTAGATTTTGTACATATTTCGAGATGAGATGACCATTTCTTAAATCGTGATTCCAAGAATATCACAACATTTAGAAATATTTGTTTTAAATAAATTTAATTATTAATTTACCTAACATTCAACTTTACCCCTTATGAAAGTGCTTTTAAATTCGGCACTGGTATGCGTGCAGATTGTATTAACTATTAATTATGCTTCAAAATCAATGGTAATAATAGACACCGATTGCGGTGTTGACGACGCGTTGGCTATAATTTTGGCCACGTATTGCCACAAACACAATATAATAGACATAATGGCCATCACTTGTGTATCCGGTAATACATATGTCGATAATGTGGTCAAAAATGTCGGCTATACTCTTAGAGCCAGCAATTCTGAGGCAAGTATTATGTAATTAAAAACAAAATTTTAATAATATAAAAATCTAATATATTATAAACTGAAGGGAATCCCAATATACAGGGGCGCCGCCGGACCTATTGTCGGTCAATACGTGCCCCAAGATTACGACGGAACCGATGGTTTGGGCGATTCTACTCAATACATTGCACCCATTAATGTACGCGTAGGGCCAGAGACGGCGGCCAACGCGTTAGTACGACTGGCCAGAGAGCACCCGAAGCAAATCACCTTGATCGCTTTGGCACCACTCACTAATATAGCGCTCGCATATATGTTGGACAACAACTTCTTTGACAATTTGAAACAAATCTCGTTTTTGGGCGGAACTCTTGACTTTCACGGCAATGTTGGTCCGGCCCTAGAGTTCAATGTGGCCTCAGATCCCGAGGCATGTAGTAAATTGATGTCAAACGCTAGCTGTCCCGTCACTATTGTCCCGCTTGAGTGTGGCAATAGTAATATTCTTACCTGGGTAATATAAAGTATATTGAATACATAATAAGCATTAACAATATGAAGTAAATCATAACAATTGCAGTCCATTTACGACCAAATAGTGAAATTGGGTTCAAAGAAATCAAAGTTTATGAAACAGATAACAGATATGGAGGTAAAACAAGTTAGAGCTCGTATGTATTGAATAAACGGATAATTTATTAATACAGTGAAATTATATCTATATTATTATATCAATATTAATGTTTCATCAGTTCCCGGGTCTAAAGGTCTGGTAATATATGACATTCTGGCAGTAATGGCGGTGTTATATGAAGACTATATTGTGTCAAAAGTGAATTACAAGACAAACATTGAATTGAATGGAGAGATAACTCGAGGAGAACTAGTGTTTGATAAGAAGTGGTTACACAATGTCCCGAATCTCCTGTCGACTGATTGGAAATCTTTTTTATATATTAAACATTTTAACGAAACAAAATATATGCAACTTTTTATCGAGTTTATGAAATAATCGCAATTGATTTTTAAATACCGATTGTATTGTAATTTACAGCATTAAATCAACGTTTATTATGTTATCTATCCATTTAGTTTATAAATAGTAAATTGCTAGTTTTATAGATATAAATTATACATTATATTTTTAAAGCGTTATTATTAGAATATTATTACTAATAAATTATTATTATTATTATTAGTAATAATCAAAGCATCATATTTTAATTATAGCAACTATTTTAGCGGTTAAATACAAGACAACCGTTGAATTGAAAGGCGAGACCACGAGAGGAGAGCTGGTGTTGGATAAGCGGCCGACCGCTGGAACCGATTGAACACAAGTTGTATTCATCACACATTTTGATCAACAATTGTTTTCCCAACTTATGGTTGAATATATCAAATCTGTTAGTGGTCCGTCAATTTATTAATTATTAATTGTGATAAGTTATCATTTATAACAATGTAAATTCTTAATTTTTTTAATGTAAATATCATAGATTTATTTTTATATTTTTAATTTGTTACTGGTGCTAATTATTAACAAAGTGAACAGATTTCCACATTTATATATGAGATCTATTAATATATTCGTGTTTTATATCAATTAAACTTAATTAAACGTTTTTCTATACTTTGTATAGCCATTAATTTATATAATAATATTCAATGAAATAATCGGTAAATCTTTTAACTTTTTGTTGACAAAAACATAAGATAAATGCATTGTTGTTATCATCTCAAACATCGGTCGAAGTAAGTGTTGGCTATCTGTCCGCCGGCCATAGCTTTGCGCACAATCGACTCGAATAGACGTCTATTGGTTTGCAGCGCTTCCGCCGCCTCTGTGTTTAGGGGGTCCTCCGGATTGGGCTCAAGAAACAGATACTGTAAGCCATAGACAATTGAGTTGATGGTCAGCACTGGCTTCCAGTCTTCGCGCAAAATGTTGAGACAAACGTTGCCCTCGAGATCAATGTTGGGGTGATAGACACGGGTCTCGCACTTCACTTTTGGCGGTCCGTACGGATAGTTTTGCGGTACTTTCAAACTAAACGAGAACTTTCCGCCCTTATAGTAGCCCTCGTCGGGACAGATGGTAATCTTGAAGTTCATCAGATCGCCCTCCGGGTCGACAATCATCGCACAGTTCTTGGGAAGCGTTAACTCA